AAATACCATTGCTATGAATGTGGAAAACCTGGCCATATCAAACCAGACTGTCCGGAACTTAAGAAAGATGTGAAGAAAGGGAAGAATGGTATCTATAAGAACAAACACAAAGCTTATATTGCTTGGGAGGATAATGATTCTTCCATAACACAAGAGAGTTTTTCCGAAGGCAGTGATGGAGAAGAAGAAGCAAATTTTTGCTTGATGACAAAAAATGATAATGAAACCTCATCACAGGTAAGTAGTACAAAATCCTTAAATGAATATGATGAGTTGTTTAAAGAATATCAAGATATGTATGAAGATTTTACCAAGTTATCTAAGAAATACAATGCACTTAGACAAAAGTTTGATGCATTAAAAAATACTATTGGTATTCTTGAAAAAGAAAATGAGTGCTTAAAGAAAGATGTTGAGAAATTTAAAACTTTGTCTAAAAATAAAGAAGTTGCTAAACCTTGTGAAAACTGTAATCATTTGGAAAATGAGATTTTCAAGTTAGAGAAAATAATAAGCAAGTTTTCAAAATCTTCTGAAAATCTTGATTATATATTAGGTTATCAAAGAGGGAATTCTAGCAAAGCTGGACTTGGTTACAAACTCAAATAAAGTCTAGAACCTCATAAAACTATTTTTGTGAAAGAGTCAAGAAAAACATATGTGAAACCATTTTCAAAAACTTTAAGAAACTCATTTAGACCTTTTCAAAGAAAACCAACATGTTTTTATTGCATGAAAATAGGTCATACATCAAATAGATGTTAAATAAAACATTTTGGCATATCTAATGACAAATATGAATGGGTGCCTAAAGGAACAAAACATTTATACATGTCTAGATGATAGTTTGAGCATCTAATTGATTATCAGAATCGAAATTTTTTTTCTTGTTGTCATAATCAATTATGTTGATTCTGAAGGTGTTGTGATAATTGATTATTATATCATGGTTATATTCTTTTAATCCTTAGTATTTTGGCAGAGACTTGTGATTCTACTAACCTTTTTAAGGACCCAAAAATAATTAAAGGTACCTAGATTTGTATGTTGATGTTGCAGGTAATTATCAAGGATAAAGAAATTAATGCAGGTTATTGAAGCTAAATGGGTGTACAAGAAAAAGCTAGATGAACAGGGAAATATTACAAAAATAAGTTTATGATTGTCTCTCAAGCCTCTATATTGAATATATGCACTTATCTGTTACATAAATTTGATTGTTGACCAACTTTGAAATTTGAAAGTTTGAATTTATGAAAATTTGAAATTATTAACGTTTGAAATTTTGCAGTTTGAGATTCTTGAAATTTGAAATTTTGCAGTTTGAGATTTTTTTGAAATTTTGTAGTTTGAGATTTTGAAATTTGAAATTGAATTTGAATTGGAATTTGAAATTTGAGATTAGAAATTTGATTTTGAAATTTGGAATTTGTTGGAATTTGAATTTGAAATCTAGAATATGAGTGAATTTGAAGTTGAAAACTGCCTAAATAAGAAGACTGCAATTAGGGGAAACTACTGCATTGCATTCTATTATCTTTACAATCGTTCTATTCCCCTATCTTTCTCTCTCTTCATTTGTCTTGGGTATCCTAGATATTGCCTCCTTAATATGATGTTCTTCTCTATGACACTTTGTAATGCATTATCTTCTCTACCTTGATTTATGTACTAATATGTGCAAATTTTTTCTCAATTTCTATTGTAATATTTTTCATAATTATCAATGAAACAGGGAGATATTTTGATGATATTAATCTGTGTGAAACAGGGGGAGATTTTTTTCTCTTATAATATTTTTTATGATTATCAATAAATTAGGAGGAGATTTTTTGATGAATTAAAATCAGTGTGAAATTCATTCCTATCTCTAAATTAAACAAGGGGAGTTAAGAGAAGTCTTTGCTCATATGAGTTAGGGGAAGTCTTATTATTAATATATCCAGGAGGAGATTAAGAGACTCTGACACTTGATACAAATTTGTGCTAATCTGTGTTATATTATACTGTGCTAATCTTGAGCTGGCTATATAGAGTCAAACATTTTAATTCATTTCAGGTGTTTCCTTGATCATCATCAAAAGGGGAGAGATTGAAAGTAATGAGGGGGAGATTGATGGAAATGTCCGTACATTCCCAAGAGATGATTTTGATGATGATTCAAATCAACTACATTCAAGTCAACATCATTCAAGATGAATTAAGGACAAACTGAATTTAAGATGTTGGTGACAATGTGAAACATTTCCCTACATGCCCAATATATGTTTTTGATAAAGATGATAATTCAAGCAAGCCCAAGATATTCCTGAAGACTAGATAGAGTATTAAAATACTGGATATGAAGGTACAAGTTGATGAAGTAATATTATGCATAAACCTCCAAAGCACAAGTGTGATAAAATTCATAACATGATATTTTTCATTGTCATAATCAATTATAATGCATCAGAAATGGAAAAATAATTTTCTCTGTCATAATTGATTATACTGGTAACATAATCAATTATGGCAATTCAAATTTGAAAAATATATCTGTTTTGAAGAATAAATGTTTTTTAATATATCCTTATTTTTATTCACGAAAATATTGCCATTTTCTAATGCTATTTTTCTATTTAATTAAGTTTTGATGAAAAATAAAAAATACATAATTACAGAATTCGAAAATACATTTAACATTCAATCAGTTTTGAAAAAAGAATTCTAAGAAAGGCAACAAAGATATTTTACATCTTCTGAGAAAACCTTTTTCTCTACTACCTTCTGTGTTTCATTGTTAATCACACTTGTTCATGGAGATTGACATTCTACAGACTTCTACAATTTGTTGTCTCCATTACCCAAGTATGACTGTTCTTATCTTACTCCTTCATCCTTTGTGGGTTTAGGAGGTATTTTCATCCCTTTGATTTGTTCAGGGAGGTGTTCATCCCTAGTGTGATTCTAGGGAGGTGTTCATTCTTAGTGGGATTCTAAGGAGGTATTTTTCATCATTTGATTTGTTCAAAGAAAGTGTTCATCCCTAGTGGGATTCTAGGGAAGTGTTCATCCTTAGTGGGTTTCTAAGGAGGTGATTGTCTTTTTAATTAGTTTACTTTTTACTGGTTCTTCTGCTAAGTTGATTGTAATTTTTAAACTGAATTTGAAAGATAGTGAATTGGGAGTCACTTTTGTATTAAGAGTTGACTAGGAACTGGATGTAGGGTTGGCTATACCCGAACTAGTATAAATCACTGTGTGCTCTTCTCTTTCCCTTATCTCTTTCTCTTTTCCTGATTATATTATCGTTTCTGTTTTATCTGTGTTCAAACAAATTATTGACTCACAAATAAATTTTTAATTTGACATCTATTCACAAATAACCTTGGTTGAGTCCCAATATGTTGTGACCTAGATAATTGATGTATGTCATTTTACTCTTTATTTCTTGATCTAAGAGTATTTTTTTAAGCTAATTATTTATTTCATAAATCATGCATTTAACATCTTTTCATTAAAAGTATAACATAATTCAATTTTTTTAATTTGTTGCATTTTGCATACTTTTAGCATAAAAAATAATATACACATATATCCATAGTGCATTTTTTTTTTCTTTTATAGAAGAAAGATATTTTGAGATGAGCTAAATTGATGGAAATAAAGACCCCAAATTGATGCAGTCAAGTTTCACTTTTCTCGGAAGTCCAAGTTTGCTTGTGCAGTCCACTTGCGGAATATTACAATTGGAAATTTTATATCAAACAAATTAACTCATACGGGAATCCAATTTAGCTGAATTAAAAGACAGTAAGAATCAATAACTAAATATAAATTAGTGTTAGATCACTCAAAATAGGAAAAAAAACGGATTATTTCTTCCAAATCAGTCCAAAAAATTTCTCGTCACAGCAATCTAGTTTTGCAATTTTTAATTTGGGAAACATTTGATTTTATTGTAATTAATTTCAGGCTTAATGTCTCTTATTCAATCCCTTATAAATAGATGTCTAATAAGAACATAATCACAATCCCCTGTTTCGGGGAAAACTACTATTTGGTCTCATCCTCGTTTTATTTTATGTTCTCAGCTTTTAGTTAACAAAGTCATCTACTACTACTGCACTTTTGATTTATTCTCTTTTATTTAATTTGTAATTTCTATTAAATTTTCCAATTTATATTTTTCTGTTTACTTTATTCATTTAGTACTCATTTTAATTTTTAGTATTTAATTGTTTAGAATTTCTATTTTATTCTAGTATTGCTTAATTTTCATTTTCAATTCATCTCTTTTCTAATTCCAATTACAATTCTTAATTTAGTTTTAGAGTTATTGTTTTCAGAAAATTTAAATTTAATTAATGCACCCTTTTATTTTAAAACAATTTTTTATTTTGCACTTTATTCTGATAATTTTTGAATTTAATTAAAAGTATTTTATTTTAATTTTATAAATTTTAGTTATTTAAATTATGCTTTAATTTAATTTTAATTATCATTATTATTCTATTGTAATTTGATTTTAATTTTTATTATTTTGCATCAAATTTTTTTTTTAATCTTTCATTCACTCCTATTTACAGTTATTTATTATTTTTAGAGAAGATGATTTGTGATAGTGAGTATATTCCTATAATCGTGCCCTTGTGAGATTCAACACGAGTAGCTATCCTGCATTAGTTGAAAAACTTGTTTATTTTTTTATCAGTATTTTGTGCAACCAAAATATTGTGGTCAATGATACTCCATCATATCTTATTAATATATATAATTAATCAAGTTAACAAATTTAGATAATGCACCTTGAGCAACATCTCAAAAAGTTACAAAGAGCGCCAGAAAATATTGTTTACCACATGATTAAATAATGTCAAACAAAAAACTGGAATTATAATAAAAAAATTAAGAACTAGTTGAAATAAAATAACAAGTTAAAGTTAACCTATATCTTTCTAGGTTCTCAATATATGTATAGTACGCTCAATATTGGTTTTGTGAGCAAAGACTAAAAGAGAATGAGAGTGTTAGATAATCCTCTAGTGAGTTTGATAACAGTGTCATTGTTCTTCATTGGAGTTATCTTGCTCTACCACAGTTCATCCTATTTCTCCAACCAACTCATTCCATCCCAAAAGGAACCACTCTGCAACCAATCAAATCTTGTAAGTTCATTCAAATCACCCATTTTTTATGCTTTTTGTTTTTTCTCATCAAAACAAATCATGCACATGGGTAATCTTTACAATCTAGCTGATATTTTAAACCCTAAATATGCATAGTTTTAATTTCATCATTCTAACATCCCTTTCATGTTGTAGACCACCACCAATGTTGAAGGAGATAGAGATAGTCTTGATTCTGCTTTGGAAAAAGCGTCACTGGGAAACAAAACAGTGATAATTGCCATAGTGAACAAGGCTTATGTGGAGGAAGGAGTGGAGAGTAAGAGCAGCATGCTTGATATATTTCTGAGCAGTTTTTGGGTTGGAGAGGGAACAAGGTCACTCATTCATCACATTCTCTTAGTTGCTGTTGATCAAATTGCCTATGATCGATGCATCTTTCTCAACCTCAACTGCTTCAGATTGCAAACAGACGGTGTTGATTTCGAAGGTGAGAAAATTTACATGTCTCAGGATTTCATCAAGATGATGTGGAGAAGAACTCAATTCCTCTTGCAGGTTCTCAAACGTGGCTACAACTTCGTTTTCACCGTACGTATAATTCCCTCTTCTTCAATCTTTTTTTCTTTTTCATTGATCCCGGTTTCTCATTTTAAGTGCATGTAAAACTGAATTAGTTCTCTAAAGTGTGCTCAAATTCTCATTACTTCTTCTTTTATAACTAAAAATCGCTCTCAACTATGTTAGACTATTTTCTTTTAATCGTTATCATTTATATTTTATTTGTCTGGTTTGCATGCAATAATAAAGCAAAAGAAAATCTTTCTTATGTTATACAAGAAATGATTACACAAATATAACTCAAAACGTTAATATGTAGAATATCAACAAGATTTTATACATAGATTTTCAATATAATTGAAAAGAAAAATACTGATATCATACAATCTTAGACAATTTAACAGATAGTTTAGAAGACAAGAAATATATATATATATATATATATATATATATATATATATATATATATATATATATATATATATATATATATATATAACATTTTCGTATAACTAAAGTTTTGGTGCAAATAAAAATTTGATAATAAGAAACTGCCTTAGTTACATATATAGGTTGATGTTCAAGCAATATTATTATGTTCGTAGTTTCTCAGGTTGTGATCCAGATTTGCAGGTAGTTTCTCAGGTTGTGATCCGGATTTGCAGTTAGGTTTGTCGAGTGGGAATGAGATTTTAATAATCAATTAGGAGAATGATTTACGTTAAATAATTCACTTAAATTTATCTAATAATGTTTAATTTGACAAAATATTTTTATTTAATTTTATCCATATCCTCTTACTTTTGTAAATATTTAGTGCACCATATTTTTTAGAAAGTGTAGTAGAAAAATATAAAAGAGAAAATAACGATATTTCACTACTAAAAATTAGTTATTTTGTGTAATTTTTCTTATAAAAATTTATTTAAATTTATAGGAAACTTATTTCTTATTTTTATACAAATTTTGTAAGAATTCTCAAGAAATATGAGAATTTCTAGTAGTATTATTTTTATATATATAAATATCTAAACTAATTATAATATATAATTAGACTAAGAGAAAATATTAAAATTACTTAATTTTTAAACAAACTATCTAAACTCAGTTTTTCCCACATAAACCTTTGAAACTTCGAACGTAATGGTTTTAATTGCATTATTTATGGACTTCGTGTCAAACCTTACATAGAAAGTTGTGGGTGCCTTGAGGTTGAAGCATTAATTCATGCTACGTTTCTTAATTAGTTATTAAGTATCTTGTGATATGCGTATTTGGAAAACAACATGTGCTTTAAATTTAAACATATATAAAATGTTGGTCAATGACGTAAAACATGATAACACACAATATTAATATCATTTAAATAAATACATAATTTTCCATTTAAAAATTGCATTGTTTTTAGAATCTTAAATCCCATGGATCTAGATTCATACTTTTCAAATCTAAAATTTATACTTTCACCGTGATTTGAATTTTTTAATTTATATTTTGTTTTTATATGTTGTTTATGAGTCTTGGTAATATATATATATATATATATATATATATATATATATATATATATATATATATATATATTAATATATAAAAGTGTTTTTTAAAAATAAAATTGTGATAAATTAGTTTTTCAAATACGAAAAATAGCAATATTATCAAAATATTAAACTGAAATATTCTTATTCCTACATATTTTCTATTATTGTTTATTAAGATGATGTATTTATGTTGCAGAGAGGAATACAGTTTTCATTATACATATTCCTTCTATAATTAACATGTGATTAACATAATTTTTCACAGGACACTGATGTGATGTGGTTAAGAAATCCATTCACAAGGTTAAGCAAGAATGAGACAGAAGACCTTCAAATCAGCACAGACAGTTTCCATGGTGATCCTTGGTCAAATAGAAATCTAATCAACACTGGATTTTACTTTGTTAGGTCAAACAACAAAACTATCTCCTTGTGTTGAAACATGGTATGGCCAAAAGGACAAATCCAAAGGAAAAAAAGAGCAAGATGTGCTTTTTGACCTCATAGAGGTGGCATGATTGAACACTTGGGACTTAGGGTTAGGTTTTTGGACACCCTTTATTTCAGTGGGTTTTGTGAAGATAGCAAGGATTTTAGGGCAGTCACCACTGTCCATGCCAATTGTTGTAGGAGCATCCATGCAAAGATCTTAGATTTGAAGATTGCCCTTAGTGATTGGAAGAGATTTAGAAAGTTGGATGCTAATTCCACTATGAATCCTCAATGGACTAAGCATGATTGGTGTTGGCAATCTTGGGGAAGACCTAAACAAGCAAATGGCTAAGCATAATGTCTAGTTGAATCATGATCATAACCCACATATTTTTAATGTAATCTACTTGATTTACCTTAATTTAAGAAGTTATATGTTTGTTTGAGTTTTTGTTTTGAGCACTGTTGTGAAGAGATTAATAAATGAATATTTGTGAGAATTATGCATCCATGCAAATATAATTGTTCCATGGTTGAGTAATTACTTCACTTAGGAAGATTTTTGCTGTCATTTTTAAAGTATCAATAGTAACATGATTCATACTGTCATCTTTTAGAATATCATAATTTCTTTTCTTAGGATTTATTCAAAATTACGAAACTTAGAACTTGTTGCACTACTAGAAAAATGTCAAATAGTAACCGAAATCAGTGATCGAAAAATTTAGTTACTATCGGTGACCGAATCAGTAACCAAATTATTATTTTTTAGTCTAGTAACCGAAATAGTAACCGAATTTTCGGTCACATAAAATCGGTTACTATTTCGAGTCACTTTATTATTTAATTTATTTTTTTAATTAATCTATATTTAATTTATGTAATTATTTTTGTTATTGAATTTTTTTATATTTAGTAATCGATTTAGTGACTAAAATTTCAGATCACTAAAAAAATAATTTTTAAACTGATAACTATTTTTCATTTATATAAATATTTTATTTAAAATATTTTAAATATAAATTTACTTAATAATTTAAAATAATTGATAACATTTTTAATAACATTATAAATATTTTAAAAAAATTGTTTACTAACTTATTAAATAATTTAGTAATATAATTATTTGATTTTATTTTTTAATTTAGCATGTGAATAAAAAAATTAAAATTGATTATTAAATTAGTCACCGAATCGGTCATCGATTCGGTCACTGAATCGGTCACTAATTCGGTCACTCAGAATCGGTCATCGAATCGGTCACCGAATCGATCATCGATTCGGTCACCGATCTCGGTCACTAATTCGATCACCGAATCGGTCACTCGATTCGATCATCGAATCGGTCACTAAATCAATAATTAAATTAATTATTAATTTAGTCTTTATATATATATATATATATATATATATATATATATATATATATATTACTTGTATGTTAATAAAAATGTATTTCAATGTATTTATAAAAAATTAAAATTATTTTAATTACTTGAATTGATATTTTAAATTTATATTAATATCTTGAATAATTTAATAGTTGGATATATATATATATATATATATATATATATATATATATATATATATACATGTATCACTTTAATTTTTTTAATTAAAATTAATTTCATAAAAAAATTAATATTTGAAAATTAAAATGCAAAAATATATATATATATATATATATATATATATATATATAAATTTATTTATTTTTTAAAGATGATATATTCAATGTATGTTAAAAAAGTTCAAAACTATCTGTTTTAATTAATCTGTTAAAAGATTTTTTAATCTGCTAAAAGTGCAGTTTTAATCTGTTAAAACTTCTTTTAATCCATTAATACGTTCTTGATTCTTTAATGATTTGTTTTAACCGATACGACAACGTTTATATCAATTAAAACACTTTACAAAAAATCTTCTAAGTTAATTTAATCGATTGTTTCGCGATTCAATCGATTGAAATACTTGCAAAACTTTCTTCTAAAACTTTTCAAGTTATTTTAACTGATAAAAATAAGTTTTAATCGATTAAAGCATCTGTGCAGAAATTGTTTTAATCGATTGAAACGAGATTTAATCGATTAAAATAGTTATGATCGGTCATAATTGCATTCGACCGATCATAATGGAAACCATATAATAGCGGTTCAAGGGTTAACCGCTATCTAAGTGATCTTTTAAGAGCGGTTCCTGTGTAACCGCTATCTAAAGCTGTATCTCGCTTGAGCGACAACGTTCTCGCTCGAGCGAAACGCCTCTGCACAAAATTAGTACTCTCGGGTTGTATTTCGCTTGAGCGAGTCTAGTCTCACTCGAGCGATATTTGATTCTGATCGATTAGATTTTCGAAATGATCGATCATATTTGATAATTTTTTCAAATAATTAATTATAATCGATTAGTTTTCTAAATTATTGATTAGAATTGATTAGTTTTTCAAATAATAGATTAGAATTGATTAATTTCGAAATATATACTAAAAAATTATAATTAAAACTATAAATTAGTTAAGAATATTGACTATTGTAAAGATAAAGTAGAACATGGGAGGAGATGAGGATGATAATATAATGATAGAACTTACAAAAATGTAGAATTGAGAAGTTTGAAACAAATAAAATTAAGAAAATAGATATTTAATTACACTTTTAATAAATTTAAGATAATACTAGTTTTGATTTTTATTTTTAAATATTTATTTTAATTATTTAAAATAGAGAAACTATAATTTTACTTTCTAGCTACTGAATTTAAAGAATTAAATTTATTATTATTTAATCTTTTAATTTTAGTATTACAATTTTAAATTATATTTTATTAAATTAAAATAATTATAATATATTTTTCTACTTTGAGAATGAACAATATACTAAACTCAAAATTGACAATATTATAATACATTTTTGAACTCTTTTTTCATTAATTTTTTTCCCAAATTTTTGATAAAGTTAATTTTAATATTTAAAAGTATTTAACATTTTGAATTCTAAAAGGTTTTCTCTAATAGAAAATTTAAAAACATAATATAAAAAAAATAGTTAATGTAAGTTTTCATTATGATCGGTCATAATTGCATTTTGACCGATCATAATGGAAACCATATAATAGCGGTTCAAGGGTTAACCGCTATCTAAGTGATATTTTAAGAGCGGTTCTCGTGTAACCGCTATCTTAACCGTATCTCGCTTGAGCGACGATGTTATCGCTCGAGCGAAACGCCTCCTGCACAAAATTAGTACTCTCGGGTTGTGTTTCGCTTGAGCGAGTCTAGTCTCGTCCGAGCGATATTTGATTCTGATCGATTATATTTTCGAAATGATCGATCATATTTGATAATTTTTTCAAATAATTAATTATAATCGATTAGTTTTCTAAATTATTGATTAGAATTGATTAGTTTTTCAAATAATAGATTAGAATTGATTAATTTCTAAAATATATACTAAAAAATTATAATTAAAACTATAAATTAGTTAAGAATATTGACTATTGTAAAGATAAAGTAGAACATGGGAGGAGATGAGGATGATAATATAATCATAGAACTTACAAAAATGTAGAATTGAGAAGTTTGAATTACACTTTTAATAAATTTAAGATAATACTAGTTTTGATTTTTATTTTTAAATATTTATTTTAATTATTTCAAACAGAGAAACTATAATTTTAGTTTCTAGCAATTGAATTTAAAGAATTAAATTTATTATTATTTAATCTTTTAATTTTAGTATTAAAATTTTAAATTATATTTTTCTACTTTGAGAATGAACAATATAATTAAACTCAAAATTGACAATATTATAATACATTTTTGAACTCTTTTGGATTAATTTTTTTTCCTAATTTTTTATAAAGTTAATTTTAATATTTAAAAGTATTTAACATTTTGATATAATGAGCATGATAATATAATGATAGAATTTACAAAAATGTAGAATTGAGAATTTTTAAATCTTTTTCTAATATTTATTTTTAAAAATATAATATTATTTTTAAAATTTAATATTTTTTTTCAAATATATAAATATATAAAGATATAAATGTATAAGGATATAAATAAATATATAAATATATCAAAATATAAAAATATAAATATATAAATATAAGTTTCTTGTAAAACTTTTCAAGTTATTTTAACTGATAAAAATAAGTTTTAATCGATTAAAACGTCATGCAGAAATTGTTTTAATCGATTGAAATGAGATTTAATCGATTAAAGAGTTCGATCGGTCATAATTGCATTCTGACCGATCATAATGGAAACCATATAATAGCGGTTCAAGGGTTAACCGCTATCTAAGTGAGCTTTTAAGAGCGGTTCCTGTGTAACCGCTATCTAAACTAGTATCTCGCTTGAGCGACCAATGTTCTCGCTCGAGCGAAACGCCTCGCCCAAAATTGGGATTCTCGGGTTGTATTTCGCTTGAGCGACTATAATCTCGCTCGAGCGATAGTGCTATCACTATCGAAGTAAATATAAACATATAAATATATAAATATATATAAATATGTAAAGATATAAACATATATCTTTAATATTTTGTAAATGTAAATATAATTTATATATATTTTTAAATCTTTTTCTTATATTTATTTTTAAAAATATAATATTATTTTTAAAATTTAATATTTTTTTTTTCAAATATATAAATATATAAAGATATAAATGTATAAGGATATAAATAAATATATAAATATATAAATATATCAAAATATAAATATATAAAAATATAAAAATATAAATATATAAATATATTAATATATAAATATATCAATATATAAATATATAAATATATAAATATATAAATATATATATATATATATATATATATATATATATATATATACAAATATATCAATATATCAATATTATCCCCTCATATATTAATATACATTATTAGCATAATTTTAATTTAATTAAAAATTAGAATACAAATATACTATACTATACTAATATACCATCATATTATTTTCATTGTATATAAATTACAAAATTAATAATTTGTATACTATACTATACTAATATATTATTTGTATACTATACTAATAGTATAATATACTATATTAAAAACTAATAGTATTTTTAAAATAGTTTTCAATTTTTGTTTTAAAACTAAAATATTTGTTAATTATAATGTTAAAACAGTTTTAATTTTTTTTTTTACTTTTTAATTTTTGGTTTCATTATAAGTACACACTTTCATATATAATTGTATTCCATCACCTTTTTTTTTCAATTTTCACCATCCTTTCTCGTTTTAAAAAACTTTCCAATTAGTAGAATTAAACAAATTATTTTCTCTACCCTGTTTTCAAATATGATTTTTTTTTTAAATTGACCTC